TGTGCTCTCTCTCAAATAAATAAATAAAATCTTTAAAAAAAATAAATAAATAAAATAATTATGTAAGCTTTGCTCAGTGACAGTGTCATAGCCAATGAGGTTTATCCGAGGCTCGATTATTGCTAATTGAAAAATACTTATGTAGAAATAATAAGAGACCTACTAAAAATCTTGGCAGGACAAAGTGAAAAAGACCTGTTATTTAAGTTGTTTCTCTCTCTCTTTTTTTTAATATTAATTTATTTATTTGAGAGAGAGAGAGAGCAAGAGAGAGAGAGAGTGAGCAGGGAGAGGAACAGGGGAGAGAATCTTTCAAGCAGACTCTCTGCTGAGCTGGGAGCCCGAAGTGGGCAGATCCCATGACCCTGAGCCGAAATCAAGAGTTGGACGCTCAACTGAGTGAGCCATCCAGATGCCCCTTAAGTTGTTTTTCAAAAAACATATGCATTTAGTATTGCAAACTATCTGTCTTTTTTGAGTACTTGGATGGAAAGGGGTTCCATAGGATGAATACTAGGACCATACTCTCAAGAGAAGCATAGCATATTTTATAACTTTTTACAAAGAGTTAGGACTATGTCTTCTTTTATTCAATTTCCCTCAAAGTTTTCTCTGCAATTAATTAATCTCCCAATGACATCAGAAGTGAGAGAGCCTGGGTGGTGAAGTAAATGATGTGACAGCGATCTAAGCACCATGTTCTGAGGCTGTTACCTTGGCTAGGTTATTGTGATTCTGCCGAAGAGGCTGCTGGGATGTGTAGATAGAACTCACAAGTCATATGTTCCCTCTGGTCAGTGAGTTATTCACAGCCTGTTATGTGCAAGGCATTTCCCAAGGTCCATTGAGAACCACACATCATCTTTTCTTCATTATCTTTAGGAAGTAAGTTGACAAGGCTGGCTTGCTTGGCTTAAACTTCACCACCATCCCTGCCCACATGCTTGCACAGTTTAATAGCATACCTTATCATGCAATACTATTAGCGAGGAGAGTACTTCTCATCAGGAGTGCCATCGGGCAGAGCTTGTCTAGAATTTGAAGACTTGATTTGTATTCCCTTTTTGTCCTACTACCAGCTGAACAATTACATGAGCATACAACATTCATCTAAAAAAAGTAAAGAATAGCATTATTTGTTATCTACCTGTTTAGGATGCTATAAAGGCAAATTATATTCTTCTTATAAACTGCCCTCTGCTTCCTGAGCACAGGTGCTTATCATCATGAAAGAGGTTCATTCATTCAGTCTTTAACTAATTCAGCAAATTTCTACTAATTGCTAGCTGTGTTTAAGCTGCTGTGATAGGTGCTGGGAATAAAAAGTGATTAGAGCAAAGATCCAGGCCATGCAGACCGTAGAGCTGAATGGGGAGACAAAGGGAAGGAAATAATCATAGCAGTGTGCTAACTGCTAAGTGCACCATTTCTAACTTCAGGCATTTCTGCTTTAGGTGCATTTCTATCATACAGGCCCTTTGAGTAAGTGCAATAGAAAATTTAGATCAGAAATGTGCCAATGCGAAGCAAGAATCCAGAATTGAAAGAACCATGGAATCATAGGGCTCGAGTGGGCATTAAAATGCATTAAGTGAAAAGGATTTTCTAAAGCTTGAGTTCCATCTGAAATCAAAGTGCCAAGTGGTCCACTAGCTTAGCTTGAGCATTTCTAATGAGATGAACTCGCTGCGTCTTGATAGATGTCATGTTACTGTTGATAAACTCTCATTGTTTATGAGGTATTTTCTTATAACAAGTCAAAATACATTTTGCTATACAGAGCAAAACTAATTCTTTAGGATAACAGCCTCACAAATGTAACAAGGTAATTGTCAGAGCCTTTGGGTCTTTTCTCCAGGCTAAATAAAATCAATATACTATTGGTAGAAGACGGTTTACTGTCCCGAAGTCTTTTCTGAATATACACAATAGAATAGGATTTTTCAATGTGTCAATTAGAATCAGGGGGTGCTGAGATCAGTCTGGTGGGTAAAAATTAGAATAGAATAAAATAAAACGTGTCAGGGTCTTTTAAACATAGTAACCATAAGTATTGTTTCATGAAAGTTTTGTTTGCAGGTGTGTGTACATATCTGTGTATCTGCATCTATAGATCTGTGTTTGTGTAAATACTGAATCCCAGATTAAAATGATTTCCTAATGGAAATCACAATAAATAAAATACCACCAATATATCCCCACAGGAGACTTCGCGTGCCTTAAATAAATGTTTTTTGAATGTATGCTTAATAATCACCTGGAGGGTTTGTTAAAAAGATGGTTATATCCCTTTTCCTTCCTACCCATTGTCCAGATTCCGATTCAGAGCATCTGGTGTGGGATAAACTACATCACAATTTTAATATGAATTGCATTTTTAATAAGCCCCTGGGTTCTGCCACTGCTGATCTGTGGAGCCCAATCTGAGGTCACCACTGACCTAGGTGACGCATGACTAACTTACATAAAAGCAGAGTGAGGACCTGGGTGTCCGTCTACATAGTAAATGTTTGATGATGCTTAATTTAGTTAGTAATGCTTAATTTCTTTTATATTTTTAAGTCAAATTAAATACAAATAGAAAGTTTTAATAATTTCTACTCACACCCCACATTGGAGACAGTTGGTGAATTGGGAATAGTGCTTGAAGGGGAGGTCAGGGTTAGAGACATAAACTCTAGAAGGAATTACAGAAGCAGTATCTGATTCCCAGGAGTTAACTCATTTATACTGGCTGATCTCTGAGAGCGCCTGACCCACCTTAGTTTCCGAACACATGGTCCCTCAATGGTCCCGTCAACCAGTGAAAGACAAAACTGCAAGCTGCAAAATAAAACATGTGCATTTATTTGGGATTCTAGGGATTGCACTCCAGGAGACACAGATTTGGCAATAATCAAAAGTGTGTTCCAGAGAGACAAAGGAGGTTAGAATTTTTATAGCGGAAAGAGGGAATTTGCGTAGGTTGCTTGAAGAAAAGGTGATTGGTGCTGGTATAGCTACAGTTCCATTAATCTGTATGTGATTGGTTGCTAGGGTAATGTTAGGCAGAAAATCCATTTATGTCCATATAGCAGATGCCTTGGCTTTTAGCTGAGTTCAGCAAAAATTCCAAGAATTTGAGATAGAAGATGTGCATAAACCCCACCTCCTCAATTTCCTCCTGGCTTCACTTTAAATATCTCTCTTAACAGTGGTTATTCCATTTTATTCCCTGTGCTGTCAAGTCCTTAATTCACCTGTGAGAGAACTTATCCTCGGTGGTCTCAGTTTTCTTTTATGATCTCACCATCAGTTTTTCTAACTTCTCCAGTCCAAAGTTGATTTTCCCTAACAGAGAACCCCAATGCAAACTAGACTAGGAATTGTGTAAAATATTGACCATTTCCAATGGACACCTGAAGTTTCAAGCAGATTTCCTGCCTTGATTTCCTCATTGTGTTGCCGTTGTTTCTCTGTAACATTTGGTTCTCTCTTCTTCCTTTCATGGGCTCCTTGTTTTATCTGAGAATTATCTGAAGGCCCCTTTTGAGAACACCTTCATGTATAGTATGCTTGCGGTTTTCTGGGATGCCCCTACCCTCTAAAGCTGTCTCTGCCTTCAGAGAGGTATGCTTCACAGCACACCCATTCCTTTCTCTTTACTGTCTTGTCATCTTCCTTCCTGAAATCCAAAACCTCACTTGGCTTTACCTTTCCAGATCTTCAGCAGCCTTCCCATGCCATAGTTCCTCTCTCCAGGATACTTCTGTTATGCAGACAGTAACAGAAGTAACAAAAACAACAAAATGGGTCCCTAGTTTCACACAATTCCAAAAGTGTTAGCAAGCTCTAACAGTTGCAGAAAGAAGCTTTGATACACAAGGATTTGGAAGGCACACATCTCTGTTATATTGCAACATTGTGTAGGAGGAGCTTTTGAGATAATGTATATAGAAGTAAGAAATGGTGCTCTATTCTGTGAAATATTTGTGGAACCTTTGTATTTGGGTTTGCAACAACAGGAAGCTTAAACCGGAGTCTACACTTTGGAGTTCCAATCTGCCACATATTAGCCTTGTGAAGTCTGGGCAAATTAATATTCTGAGTCTCTCTTTCTTTCTATTGAAAATGGAATAATAATGCATGATGAGACTGGGTGACTAAAGGGCATGATAAAATGTAAAGAATTACACTCCAGGAAGATTCTGTCCTAATTACCACTGTTAATCTGATTTCTGAAGTACAGCTTCATTTGTTCAGTTAAATCCTATTTCTCTACGGATCCTTTCTCAATGGTGTTTTAACAGCAACTTCAGATTGTGTACCTCCTTTTGAGAGAGGTTGTCTTCAAACTATGCTATTTATTCCTTTAATTTTGTTGTTAATTCCAAATAAAACTCTGGCTACTTTGGTGCTCTTACACTATCATATATCACCTCCTAATTGGATGGCATATCCTGTTCTCATTTATTTCTGTTGCCCATTCATTAAGCTTTCTGGGCAGCCTAGACCCAGTTTTTGACACTTGCCTGGCTTCAGCCATATATCTGCTGTATCTCACTTTTCTTGATTGCTTCTTAAATGTCATTGCTAGGGTAATACCTCTTGTTCTGCTTTTCCCAATGTCACCCAGCCCTTAGAATGGATACAACACCTACTTCACCCCTGCTTCTCCTGTTTTAGCAGTATCAATAAAGTTGTTTTTGATGCTGTGCCAAAATGTATAATCATAGATTGCTACCACAGCTAAGTTGTTGAGAATGATGAATCCATAAACTACAAGGATGGATTTTACTGATAAGAGCTCTTTGCTTATTGCTTTTGCTTAGAAACAAAATCCTTGAGAAAACTAAGACTCAAATTTCAAAATGAAACCTTTTTTTTTTTCTGATAGCTACAGACTTTTAGATATAGATTCAACAAATATTTAGTGCTTATTATGTGATTGTGCTGTGTTAGGTGTTGGGATATCAAAGGACACCAGTATAGAGATGATGATGGTGTCCTTATGAATCTTTAAGTCTAATGAAGAGAGGGGGACATGAAACTACTAGAAGCTATGGAAGAAAAACAGAGTATTCTGAGAGTTCATGTTCAAGGATTTGATTTAAGCTGGAGAGGGGGGTAACCTCAGAGAAGGGCCTCCACGACAGAGTGATATTTAGGTGATATGTGTCTACAGAGTGTCTATGTGGTACCAAGCGCACATGTGTTACTA